TAGGTCGAAGATTTCAACAGTCGGAGTTGTACCTGCCACATCATTTAAGGTGTAACATATTTTGGTGCTAGTAACCCTGTGCAGTCCTTGTCATGCCGTTATTTGATTGCAACTCATCCTCAGGTCGATAGAGTAGCCTTTGGTTTGCACACATATTGGAAGTTTTAAACACGTCATCTGCACAAGCCTTGAAAATCCACAATCAAGAGCATTAACTTTACTCCATGCATTTTTAGTATGCTTTCAATGGCAAAAAAGTTGGTTTGGTAGGCCTGGCAAGATTATGAAGACGTCAGAGATATTTGTGCATCTCCACTTCAAGGCTTCTGTTTATTAATCAAACCCAAAGGATGTTCCATGCAAATAATATTGCGAATGATGAAAACACTCTACCGTGTTGATAGGAAGGGCAACGCGTTGCCCTTCCTCTCTCATTTATACCCCCTCCTCTCCCTTTCCTCTTCAGACCTGAGGATGGAATCCAGGTGGATTCCGAAACTGTTGTCTCATTTTTAATAAATCTAGTTTTTACGTTGTGTTTTTTTCTACCAAATAATATTGCCTTCATTCATAATCGTAATTTCATTAAACCGCCTCATTATCCATTAGATAGTAAGAATCAGTGCATATATTTTGGTTTGTCCCATTAGAAAGACATGCAAATGTTCCGAGGAACAGCCAAAATGGAGCTAGATTATTTATACATTTCACTGTATACACATTTAGATTTTGTCTTAGATTTGAGAATCAGAGATTGCGAGGGCATCGAGAACCCTCATTGTGATAAGTCGATTGTTGATTGTCAAGCTGCACACCGGCATTTCCATTCCGCCACTTTCCATTGTGTTATATTGAATAAAAGTTTGTATGACGCATACCATTAACTGGAAAAATGCAGTATAATTCCCTCAGTACATTTTTTTCGGTCAAACTGGAACAGTGATTGGTTATGGTACCAACGTAATCATGGAAATTTAATCAAAGTTCAAATAAAGTCACTGTATAATAATCTAAAATGCGTATGCAAACAGGAACAAGCAGTGATCGATTTGCGCTGTTACTTTTCATTTCCAGTTGCGAGCAAAGATAAAAGCTGTAACCAAAGGTTTCCCTAGATTCAGCCGAGAATTTAAAGTAAAGATTATTAAACCATAAGAAAGTTTTACTGGGTTAAAGTTGTGTCATAAAATATTGGATTTTCAAACATTTGAAAAATATTTAATTTATTAACCCAATGGTGCCGGGGAAAATGAACAAAAAATGGGGGAAATGCTGAGCCCACTTTTTATGTTTTTCATGAAATGTCTGCCGATAGATGGCTCTGCGAGCGCCTGATTTGAAATGGCGGGAAAAACGTATTTTTCACTAGTGCTATGAAAATCGATGGTGTTATTTTTATCATTATATTATAATTTTTATAATGTTTTATAATATTAGTAACAGCAAAATAAGATAACATAAAATATTTCGTAAATCAAAGAAACGGGTAAACGGGCGAGACGGGCGGTGCTCGTAGTTAGCTCATTGGTGATTTAGTACAAGTGTTGCCATCTATGCGTAAAAACAATCAAACAAGTACTCACGGTGGGCATAGCACGTACGTACACGTCATACCCGGCACCATTGGGTTAATTAGTACCATTTCCTGGACAACTATAACTAGCTACTCAGTATTAAACGTAAATAATATTGCTCAAAATATATGAGACAATGCATATATCAGCATTATCACTCGATGAACAATTAACAGGGAAATATTGCTGGTTTGCAAATTTAAATCAATCAACTGGAGCCGGCGGGGGCGCATAGGCTCACCCACCATTCGCTTCCATCTAGGGGTATCCCTCATGGCGAGCCTCCAGGCAGGTCTTCGGCCCATCTCTAGCTCCTCGCGACAGGTCTGACTAGCTGCTCAAGCCATGACTTCTTAGGTCCTCCCACAGGCCTCCTCTACCCAGGATTGTCTCGTGAAGAGACAGTCTGATGGACAGGGCCATCCGAAGGGAAACAAGTTAGATGTTCCATGATCTGGCGCATGGACTTGTTACAAAAGGCATTAAGACGAGACTCCAAGGCACTATATAGGGTCCAGGTTTTGCTTCCATAGACCAAAACTGGCAGTATCAAGGCCTTATAGAGGTATGCTCTTGTTAACCGAGATCATATCTCCTGTTGCCAGGCAAATCCGTCTGCTGACAGTCCAGAGATATGAGCTGCGCTACCAAGGTATGTATAGTTCTCTGTGACTTCAGCATCCTCAACGCAAGCATGTATCGACTGAACAGGTTCCCCTAGAAACCCCCAAAATCCTGGATCTTGGTCTTGGTTCAGGAGACTTCTAGGCCCAAGGACTTCGCCTCATTGCTGAATGCATCAAGAGCCGCCACCAAAGATTCCAGAGACTCAGATGGGATAGCAACATCGTCAGCAAAGTCAAGGTCCGTGACCTTGGTATTGCCCAGTGTTGCTGTTGCTTTGAATAGTAACTCTGCACATTGTCCAGTCTATGTAAGTGTTGAAAAGTGTTGGTGCAAGGACACAGCCTTGCCTCATTCCTGATTTAACAGGGAAGAAGCTCGACAGGGCCCCACTATGCTTTACAACATTTTTAGTACCTTTATATAGGCTTACTATTAAGCAAATATTCTGTGTCGGTATTCCCCTAAGTCTCAGGATCTCTCATAGCGTTTCGCACCAAGTCAAACGCCTTCTTGACATCGATGTTGGCATCAAGCAGCCCACGACCAAACTCACGACGGCGTTCCACAGTCAGTCGAAGCGCTAGGATGCGGTTTATTGTAAACTTGGCAAGAGTGAATCCAGACTGTCCCAGTCTCTGATACTTTCGTAGGTAGTCACGGATCCGTTTCAGAAGAATGTGGGCAAAAATCCTGCTTGATATACTGAGCAGTGTGATGCCACGGAAGTTGTTACAGTCCCTTCAATATGCTTTCCCCTTCCAGAGAAAATGACTACGCCCCTCAACAGGTCAGGGGGAATGGAACCAGACTGCCAGATGGCAGCCAAGACCATATGCAAGTCCCATGCCATAGGTTCACCCCTAGTCTTTAACAATTCTGTAGGGATATTACATGTGCTTGCAGCTTTCCCACCCTTCAGCTTAGAGATCGCTCCTTAATCTGTTAGGGTTGGAGGTTCCTCGCTGATAGGCGGGTCCGGCACAGGCATTGTGACACAACTTGCGTCCAGACTAACTGCCGGAGGATCTGCCTGATGCAGCTGCTCAAAATACTCGGAGCATCGTTTACGAACCCCAACATGATCTGAGATGAACCGTCTATCTCCAGAGCCGACTGCAGCCATCTGCAAGGAGAGGTTGGAGTTCAGTTTTCTCAGGGCTTGGTAGGAAGGACGAAGGTAGGGAATGGCTTTCAACCTCCTCGGCAAGACTCCTGATGAACTGTTCCTTGTCCCTTCTCAGCACTGCCCGAGCCTTGTGCACCATGGAACGGCACAGATCCTGACTTATATTTAGTCCAGTGTGATGAAATTCTGCCTTACCCTCGCGAGCTGCATCGTATGTTTCAGAGACTGCCGTGGCAAACCCACTATATTCTCCTCCTTCCTCAATCTGTCAAAGTGAACACCCTAGAGTGACAGCTAGAGATGTGGAATTACAAACTTCCGAGCTGTTATAATGCATTATTATTGTTATTATTAGTATTTTTTTTATTATTATCATTATTTTTGTTATTATCTTTAATATTATTATTATTATTATTATTATTATTATTATTATTATTATTATTATTATTATTATTATTATTATTATTATTATTATTATTATTATTATTATTATTATTATTATTATTATTATTATTATTATTATTATTATTATTATTATTATTATTATTATTATTATTATTATTATTATTATTATTATTATTATTATTATTATTATTATTATTATTATTATTATTATTATTATTATTATTATTATTATTATTATTATTATTATTATTATTATTATTATTATTATTATTATTATTATTATTATTATTATTATTATTATTATTATTATTATTATTATTATTATTATTATTATTATTATTATTATTATTATTATTATTATTATTATTATTATTATTATTATTATTATTATTATTATTATTATTATTATTATTATTATTATTATTATTATTATTATTATTATTATTATTATTATTATTATTATTATTATTATTATTATTATTATTATTATTATTATTATTATTATTATTATTATTAGTAGTAGTAGTAGTAGTAGTAGTAGAAGTAGTAGTAGTAGTAGTAGTAGTAGAAGTAGTAGTAGTAGTAGAAGTAGTAGTAGTAGTGGTAGTAGTAGTAGTAGTAGCAGAAGTAGTAGTGGTAGTAGTAGTAATAGTAGTAGTAGTAGTAGTAATAGTAGTAGTAGTAGTAGTAGTGGTAGTAGTAGTAGTAGTAGTAGCATTATTATCATCATCATCATCATCATCATCATCATCATCATCATCATCATCATCATCATCATCATCATCATCATCATCATCATCATAATTAGCATTATTATCACACGCTCGCGCACGTACCCCCCCCCCCCTGCCCCCGCACACATACTCATTCACTATATATATGTACACACATTTCGATATTAGATTCAAACATTATTTAGTGAATAGTTTCATAACTTTTCCACCAAATCTTTACACACACACACACACACACACACACACACACACGCACACGCACACGCACACGCACACGCACACGCACACGCACACGCACACGCACACGCACACACACACACACACACACACCACACACACACACACACACACACACACACACACACACACACACACACACACACACACACACACACACACACACACACACACACACACACACTCAAATCTAAAATTTGAATTCTATGAGCATCCTAATCTTCAAAATTTCATTACGATATTAGTTTGCATCATAATTTAGTGAACAATTTCATGACTTTTCCACCAAATCTTTCCCCTCGTGATGGGTTGTTAAAGCGATGTTTACATTAGAATCAGCTGTTCAAAATCAGCTGTTCAAAGCTCACGCGTGACGGCTGACCTGCGTTGCTCTCGGTCACGTATTTCGCGTCGAAAATGGTGTTTTACTTCACTAGCAAAGGTTAGTTTAGTTGTTTTTTAGATAGCTGGTGAATTCGGGTTTAGGAATTCAATGGAGTTTGCATATTTAGGTGGGTTTTTAGTGATTGTATTAGAATTTAAATATCCTCTTGGATGTTGCATCACTTTAAACTGCTCAGGTTTATACTACCTTATTTTTTTATTTTATCAGCTTTGTTTTCATATTCAATTTAAGGCCAGTATGAAGAGGAAGGGGTTTTCTTCGATGATATTGAAACTATATTCTTAAAAATTCTGGATGCTGCAGTATCATGAGGTGTGAGAGAGACCCACGTTTTTCCTTAAATTACTTCACGTTCTTTTCCTTCATTCTGCTTTACTTAATTTAATAGTAAGTATTTTGACGACACCTGCATTGGCTTGTGAATGGAACGTTTCCTCATAATTCTATTGTCAAAGGTTTACCCAAATGGTTTTGCCTTGGTCTGTGACTCGTGGCCTTCAAAATGAAGTCAGGCTCATTAGTGGTGCAATATCAAATGGTTACCCTGACTGCCATGCATTCCCTTCCAACAAAGGTGAACAACCCGCTAACACATATAGAAAATTAAGATAAACATTGTACTGGTTCCCAATTCGACAAAAAATTGCAACGGAAGTCTTACTAAAGTAGATGAGTTAGAGATTTGTTGGTCTTTATCAGAGCACAGACAGGTGCGGACACAGTGTCAATCAAAGTTAAATCAGTGGCATATTTGCAGAAATACATATATATAGTATAAGTAGAGTGAGATCTCAGTGGTAAATCTTGCTATTAAATGTGCCAGTCCAGACACCTCCAGTACAAATTGAAATATTGGAAAAGGTGTTTTAACTCATTTGCGACGGGCATGGCTCGGATACGTATCTGTGCTATGCCCACTGTGAATTTACTTGTTTAATTTTTTTACTCATAGATGGCTACACTTGTACTAAATCACCAATGAGCCAGTTACGAGTACCGCCTGTCTCGCCCGTTCACCCTTTTCTTTGATTTACGAAGTATTTTACATTATCTTATTTTGCTATTACTAATGTTTATAACATTATAGTAATTATAATGTTTATAATAAAAATAACACTATTGATATTCATAGCACTAGTAAAAATACATTTTCCCGCCAATTCGAGGAAAGGTGAAATCAGGTAAGGCAGAGCCATCTGTGTAGAGACATCTCACAAAAAATATAATAAATGAGCACAGCATTTTCCCCATTTTTTATTAATTTTCTCCGGCAGCAATGGGTTAAGTACATTGTCTTGCAACTGGGTGGATTAAGTCACAGATGGGATATAATGGAATTAGCATGTTAAGATATATGAATTTTATACTACAAGTATGATATTTTTTCTTATTTTGTAATTGAAAGAAATGCTTTTAATAGTATCTGATGTTTTATTGTATGCTATATATGTTCATATTCTTATTTTTACTTCTGACTGTTTTGTAAACAATTTTCAATCTTCCAGTGGTCGACCCACCAGTCACACTGTTCATGGGAATTGATAAATACGAAAGTAAGTACTGCAGTATCTTTTTATATTACGTTATGATATGTGTTATGATATGCTGTTAACTGTTTTGTCTTCACTTAATCATATATTATAGGTGTTAAAATTATTGATATGGTTGATATATATATATTTTTTTCCATTAGGTGAGAGATAATTTAAAAAATAGAATCATCCTAATATATTTTTTTCTCACTCTCTCTTCTCACAATTCACAAGATGAAGAACTAATCAAGTGGGGTTGGCCTGAAGATGTCTGGTTCCATGTGGATAAGGTATCTTCTGCTCATGTCTATCTGCGACTGAACCCAGTAAGTTATAGTACTTGAAAAACAGCAAAAACACACGAGAATTATATTTTATTGATAACATAGTTTTTAGATGCCTTTCAATTTTATATGAAAAATTAGACCCTTTTTTATGCTGTAAAGAATCACAGCTGCAGAAAACTATGTATTTTGAGTGTTTGTGGCAATATTATATCTAAACTTAAAATGGCATTGTAATAGCAAAAACTGTTACTTGCCTACAGCAGACTGAAATGTATTTATTACTTCAGGGTCAAACTATTGATGACATTCCCATGGGTGTTATAGAAGATGCTGCCCAACTCTGCAAAGCCAACAGTATCCAAGTAAGTAATGTGAGATGAAGACCTCCACTCCCTGTTTTCTTGTTGTAACAGATAAATTTCTTTGGAGTATTTAAACTTTACTTAGAAATCTGATTTTTTTTATGCCTTTAGTTAAGTTTTACTGATATTAACATATTGGATCAAGTTGCCTCACAGCTCTCCCATGTGGATCAAAATCCAGGCATTAGGCTTCTTGACCCCTGTATAAGCCACACCATGGATTATCAAATCAGAGCGTAAGCTCCAATTTTACACCTGTTTTATAGCCAAGGGAGTATAGTGAAGATTATGCTTTTGAGAAATGCGTGAAGCATACAGAGATGCAGAGGCCTACACTGCTGTCAGGGCAGAAGCTCTTGGTGCTCCTCTGCTGACCCTGCCTGGAACACCAACAGCACCACCTCTCTCTGCCATTAGAAACCTTGGTGATTTTGTGCCATTGCTGCTGTAGGGTGCACCTCAGGTGATTTTGTTCCAGTGAGGTTCCTGATGGAGTCAGCTCCAGCTCTGAAGACCCCCAGTTGCTTAGAGGCCTACTTTGAAAGCCTTCTGTGATTCCCCTCCACCCAGAGCACAATGGATGGCTCCAGTGTTGATGATGACCATGTCAAGAGGAAAAAGTAGACCTTCCTATACCACACCCTGGACCAGCAAGTAGATGGGTAGTAGCTTGCCAACTGATCACCAACATCAACACCTTTGATGCTGATGTTGTAATTCACTACGACCGATGACTTATCCCCATCCGTTACTGTAGTATGGACTGCAGACAGCATGGTGAAGGTCTTGCAGTCCTTCCACTGCAAAGCCAGCAACCCTGCCTTACTGTTTTGGTAGTCGACGTCACCTTTCCTCGTAGACCTCAAAGGAGGAGAAGGAGGAGGAGTCTTTGAATGCTGGCAAGTGAGGCATAGCAAAAGCAAGTAATGAATGAAATGCAAGACCTCTATGTATACGGGAAAATTCCTGTGCTTCAACCTGGCCGGGAACAAGAAACCAGCAGTAGGCCAATGAGGTCAAAGCCATCCGGGCCACATATCACATAATATGACAAATCACGTCATAGCCTAGAGTACTGAGATCACTTCATATGATTTCATATGTCATATACTACCATGACGAAGTAAGATGATGGCTATAAAGTGACATCATTGCCTTTTGTGTGCAGTAAGGAATCATCTTGGAAATATCCATGTTGACATAACAGATGTTACTGAGGTCCACACATTATGTCTCTTGTGAGACCCCCTGGCATATGGCTATGTACAGTATCATCTCACGCATGGACACCTGGAAATGGTCATTAGTGGGTTAAGGTTTCTTGCCTCTGCTTTGGTATGCTACCATCTCTTTTTCTGTATATGCTTTTGGGCCATTTTACAATGTCTGTATTTATCATCTGCTATGTTGTATCAATGTATAATAGAATGCTTTTGTTTAGAAGACTGTAAAATATCTCTCTAGGTAATAACAAAAATAATGAGCAACATTGGACTAGTTTTATCATCATCAGCCAGGTAGAAAAAGGTTACTGCAAATGGAAATTGTGTCCTTGGTGAAGATGGAACTCTTCCAGTATGGCTGACAGAGTCTAATCTCCCCTCTAAGAGCTTTGTGCACTCGTGGCAATTCAACAATAATATCTCATGATGACATGTTTACATCACCCCAGTCCTCAGCCAAATTTTTCCATGAAGACACATACCTCTCACCTGCTACTCTGCCAAGTTTTTTTTCCCAAATGAGCATGCATGTCATTTTAATCTAATGTGTTAGTTTTTAAAATTTCATTGATTTTTTTTTCTTTCTTTCTTGAATATATGCTTCAAAATTCTAATTCCACTTTGAAAATAAATCAGAGAACAACATGAGACTGAATTAGCTAACATTAACCCAATGGTGCCGGGGAAAATGAACAAAAAATGGGGAAAATATTGTGCCCACTTTCTATGTTTTTTGTGAAATGTCTGCCAATAGATGGCTCTGCTAGCGCCTGATTTAAATGGCGGGAAAAACGTATTTTTCACTAGTGCTATGAAAATCGATGGTGTTATTTTTATCATAAACATTATAATTTTTATATATTTTTTTTTACATTAGTAACAGCAAAATAAGATTACGTAAAATATTTTGTAAATCAAAGAAACAGGTAAACGGGCGAGACGGGCGGTGCTCGTAACTGGCTCATTGGGGAGTTAGTACAAGTGTTGCCATCTATGCGTAAAAACAATCAAACAAGTACTCACTGCGGGCATAGCACGTACGTACATGTCATACCCTGCACCAAGGGGTTAATAGGCTCAGTTAGCTTTGTGAGTAATACAATTAGTATTACATTTACACTTATACAGTTTGGCAATGTATAAATGTAACACAAATCTGTAATGAAAAATGTGTAGAGGTCTATATTTTACTTTTACAGATTTTGAGTAATTAATTCCAATATGAAATATTATTACAGGGTAATAAAATGAATAACGTTGATGTAGTCTACACCTTATGGGCAAACTTGCGAAAGACCCCTGGAATGGACGTGGGACAAGTTGGATTTCACAATGAAAAGGAGGTAAGATATTCAATGGGTATGATTCAGGAACATGGAATCATGGAGTTTTGTCTGTGGGAAGGATCCTGGGTCAACCACCCTAGTATAAGTACCCAGCCAACTTCTTGATGTCAAAGCTTGATAACATGAAACATAGAGCCATAGCTGATGGTTCAATATTTAAACCTTCTATAGGCTCATTATTTTAACCATTTTATTATTATTATTATTATTATTATTATATCCATGATTAATAAAAATTATCTGTTCATGCCTAATTTCACTCCTCTAAGAGGTAAACTGCATTCTAGAAAGTGGAGGACATACTGACATTCATTTCTGTCTACCTTTCCATTTTTCATTGTTAGCAAGAAAAATCCTTTGCTGTCCAGTGACACATTTGAGTACTGGCAAATTTAGAGATAATGATATTTCAATTCCTTTCCTATGTCTATTTTTGAAAAAAAAAAAAAAGATAAATAAATAAATAAAATAATAATAAATAAATAATAATAAATAAATAATAATAATAATTTGTATGTGGCTTTAACTACACCATTAGGACAATGTATATTTTTAAATTTCTGTTTATTCATTCAATTGCAAAAGTATGGATATATGGAACCAAAACTTTATTTGATGTATTTGCTTTATTGCAGGTTAGAAAAATTCGTCTTGAGAAACGCATCAATGAAATTGTCAATCGTCTAAATAAAACAAAGACAGAGGCTCATCCTGATTTTAGACAAGAGAAAGAAGAAAGAGACAGACAAGAAAGAAATGCACAGAAAAAAGAATTAAAAGATAAACAGAGAAAAGAAAAGGAGGAAATTGAAAGAAGGAAGAAGGAAGAAGAATTAAAGTAATTTCTTTTTTCTTTTGAGAGAGTGTGTGTGTGTGTGTGTGTGTGTGTGTGTGTGTGTGTGTGTGTGTGTGTGTGTGTGTGTGTGTGTGTGTGTGTGTGTGTGTGTGTGTGTGCATGCATGTGTGTGTTTGTGTGTGCATGCATGTGTGTGTTTGTGTGTGCATGCATGTGTGTGTTTGTGTGTGCATGCATGTGTGTGTTTGTGTGTGCATGCATGTGTGTGTTTGTGTGTGCATGCATGTGTGTGTTTGTGTGTGCATGCATGTGTGTGTTTGTGTGTGCATGCATGTGTGTGTTTGTGTGTGCATGCATGTGTGTGTTTGTGTGTGCATGCATGTGTGTGTTTGTGTGTGCATGCATGTGTGTGTTTGTGTGTGCATGCATGTGTGTGTTTGTGTGTGCATGCATGTGTGTGTTTGTGTGTGCGTGTGTGCATGCATGTGTTGTGTGCGTGTGCGTGTGTGTGTGTGTGTGCATGCGTGTGTGTGTGCATGTATGTGTGCGTGTGTGTGTGCGTTTGTGTGTGCGTGTGTGTGTGTGTGTTGTGTGTGTGTGTGTGCATGTGTGTGTGTGTGTGTGTGTGTGTGGTGTGTGTGTGTGTGCATGCATGTGTGTGTTGTGTGTGCATGCATGTGTGTGTGTGTGTTGTGTGTGCATGCATGTGTGTGTTTGTGTGTGCATGCATGTGTGTGTTGTGTGTGCATGCATGTGTGTGTTGTGTGTGTGTGTGTGTTGTGTGTGCATGCATGTGTGTGTTTGTGTGTGCATGCATGTGTGTGTTTGTGTGTGCATGCATGTGTGTGTTTGTGTGTGCATGCATGTGTGTGTTTGTGTGTGCATGCATGTGTGTGTTTGTGTGTGCATGCATGTGTGTGTTGTGTGTGCATGCATGTGTGTGTTTGTGTGTGCATGCATGTGTGTGTTGTGTGTGCATGCATGTGTGTGTTGTGTGTGCATGCATGTGTGTGTTTGTGTGTGCATGCATGTGTGTGTTGTGTGTGCATGCATGTGTGTGTTTGTGTGTGCATGCATGTGTGTGTTGTGTGTGCATGCATGTGTGTGTTGTGTGTGTGTGTGTTGTGTGTGCATGCATGTGTGTGTTTGTGTGTGCATGCATGTGTGTGTTGTGTGTGCATGCATGTGTGTGTTGTGTGTGCATGCATGTGTGTGTTTGTGTGTGCATGCATGTGTGTGTGTGTGTGCATTCATGTGTGTGTTTGTGTGTGCATGCATGTGTGTGTTTGTGTGTGCATGCATGTGTGTGTTTGTGTGTGCATGCATGTGTGTGTTTGTGTGTGCATGCATGTGTGTGTGTGTGTGCATGTGTGTGCGTGCGTGTGTGTGTGCATGCATGTGTGTGTTGTGTGTGCATGCATGTGTGTGTTTGTGTGTGCATGCATGTGTGTGTTTGTGTGTGCATGCATGTGTGTGTTTGTGTGTGCATGCATGTGTGTGTTGTGTGTGCATGCATGTGTGTGTTGTGTGTGTGTGTGTGCGTGTGTGCATGCATGTGTGTGTTTGTGTGTGCATGCATGTGTGTGTTGTGTGTGCATGCATGTGTGTGTTGTGTGTGCATGCATGTGTGTGTTTGTGTGTGCATGCATGTGTGTGTTGTGTGTGCATGTGTGTGTGTGTGTGTGTAAGTGTGGTTAAGTATAAGTGTATTCAAGTCTGTAAGTGTGTGCCTACCTTTGGCTCTTTATTTTTTGTGTATTTAGGTTTCTTAGGTTGCTATAATTACTATTATCAATGATATTAATTGTTATTATTATGTAAATGTCATTTCTTTTACTACTGCAACTACTACTCTTACTATTATTATTATGCTAAAAGAAAGTAATGTTATTCCATATGCAAGAAATGAAAAAAAATGCATAGCTAGAAATTATAGACTTGTAAATCTGACTATATAAGAAAGTTCATTGCAAGTAGAAACAAAAATATTGTACAATATTTTTTTGAATTGAAACAAGTAGAATGCCATCATAATTTTTCATCAACTCTAAGCTCATGTTCCCTTAGGATAGTTTTATGGTATTTACCATTAACTTTGATGGGTAAACCAGTGGATTACCTGTTCAGTCACCTGCTGGTAGCAACAGCTTCCACCTAGCCAAAACTCATGGATTTAGCTGTATTATTAGTTATGAGCATGCCTGATAGTCAAGACAGGAAGAAAACATATTACATAAAAGCATTATTATAGTAAAGAAAAGTCATTACTAAGCTGCAACATTATTGAACAATGTTGGGCATTCCAACAGTATAAAATATTTCAACAAAATCTTGCTCCATTCCAGGTGGGTAACTCTAGTCTTCATTTTCTATTCCCTCTCCTTTATACTACTAATCATCCTTATTGTCTGCCTCTCCACAGTACTCCATCACTCAACACCACTGCCTCCTCACCTGTCCTGGTCCTTCTACTATTTCTACCTCTACAGCCAAGGAGGATCAGTTTTTTGTAATCCCCCTTCAGTCCCTCACTCTGACATCCTCCTTCTCTTCCAACAATGTCTCCAAAGACAAACAGACAAAGTTTCCCCTATGACATTTATTTTGTTGGAAAGGCCTGCCCTGTCCAACCATATCACCCCCTCATCAGTGTCAGAAATGTCTATGTGCCCAGCCTGGTTATGATTATTCAAACTGTGCAATCACACACATGTCGATTGTGACAGCTCCCATGATGTATTTTATAGAGGCTGCCCTACCAATAAGTTTGAGTCTGAGGTAGCAGTTCTAAAATTCAAATGTGGCTTAAGAACATCAGTGAGTCTTTTTTCTTGCTCTCTACTCTAATGCTGTCCTTTACTCTGCCCTCTACTCCTTCCTGCCAAGGTGTTTCTAGGTCTCCCCAAGTATTTCTTCCTCCTACTCCTTACGTTCCCACTTCTACTGCCTCTTTCTCCCATTCTAATCTTAGAAATTCCAATCTCTGCCATTTCCCTGGTGCCTACCCCTCATTGTTCTACCTGCCGCATCAGACAATCTAAAATTCCACCTCATCTCACAACACATCCTCATCTCTTCCTCATAAGAAAACCCTACTTACTCAGACCTCCCCACCCAACTTTCTTTTAAAATCTCTGGAGAACATTCAAAACTTCCTAAGCATGACAAAAAAAAATTGTGAACTGTGATCCAGGGTAGGTGAAGGGATAGATAAGATAATTGATACTTATGGCCAATTCACACAATTGAGAAGTGCATGCAGGAACAGGTGAGCTGTTAGCTTGTTGATAGGTTTGCTACAGAATAGTAAAATAATGCTAGTGGTGCCTTAAAATCACAAGACACTGCCTGGTACAGTACCTTCAATACTTATCATTATATTGCAATTATCACTGGTAATTCAATTTAATAGGCTATATACGAGTAGAAATTCAAAGAAAACATGCACTGGATCCCACACAGTTATGACTGTCCCAAAAACCAATGTGTAAGCGACAATACAACTGCCATTATACTTAACCCATTTGCGAAGGGTAAAAATGAACAAAAAATGGGGAAAATGCTATGCTAATTTTTAATATTTTTTTGTGAAATGTCTCTACACTAGATAGCTCTGCCTTACCTGATTTCACCTTTCCTTGAATGGGCGGGAAAATGTATTTTTACTAGCACTATGCATATCGATGGTTATTTTTATTATAAACATTATAATTACTATAATGTTATAAACATTAGTAACAGCAAAATAAGATAACGTAAAATATTTTTGTAAATTAAAGAAAAGGGTAAACAGCTGAGACAGGCAGTGCAAGTACAAGAGTAGCCATCGATGTGTAAACACAATTAACCCATTGCCGCCGGGGATGGCATGTACGTACATGCCATGCCCACTCTGAGTCGACTTGCTTGATTGTTTTCACACATAGATGGCTACACTTGTACTTGTACTTGTACAGCATTTTCCCCATTTTTTGTTAATTTTCCCTGGCGGCAATGGGTTAAACAAGCAAACTCACAGTGGGCATGTCACATATATGTGACACCCGGCACAAATGGGTTAAGCTCAATGATTGGCAATGCTTGCTGGTCTATATATATGATTGTGTAGAGCAGGTATGGTCAGCAGGCAGGCGTGATATAACACCACTGGCAGGCAAACTAACCAATAAGCAAGTAGCTGTCCTTGTCATTTTCTCACCTGTGATGTCACCTTTACAAGTGCTTGCCACTGGTCATGCCCACTTGTATGGTAAATCCTTGTGATAATCAAAAATCACAATATTTGAAAGCAATTTCCCCTTGGGTCCGCACAATTTTATTACACCAAGCCAACTGGGTGAACTGCTCAAGCTTCAACAAAACTTTTTTGCTGGTTTTCTGGCAGAACTAGACATCAAATGTCATATAAATTATTCTATGGTAAAGGATTGTGGCAAAAAGGGTATGTGTTAGGTGTCAAAGGTTATAGATCATTATAGGATAGTATGGTGGGAGGAGGAGGAGAATAGTCCAGAGAATGAGATAAGGGGACAGGGGAGGTGTTGAAGTATTGGGAAGAATGTCAAGAGGGGAAGGATCCAGAGAAGGACACTTGCGACATAGGGGAATCACACAAGCATCCTGGTGGGAGCATTAAGGATAATGGGGAAAGAAGAGGGAATGGTGCACATAGAGAAAGAGATGTGGTGTGTTGGGAGAGAGTTAGAAGAAAAGATGTTGGGGGAACCTGAGGAGGAGGATGGATATCAGCAAATACTTTGAATGTAGAGGGAATAGGAACAGAGAGGTTTGATGGTGGATGAGGGAGCAGAGCCTGGTGTGACGGATGAAGTGACAAAGAGGAGGGCTAGGCATCAGGGAAGTGGTAGGATTTAGTCTGGGGAAGAGAGAGACAAGAGGTAGGATTGGTCAAGTTAGAGGGAACAGATGCTGAGACATTTTGAGAAGACGGGAGGGGAGCAGAGTAAAGGAATTTTGAAGTAAAATTTTGTGTAGTTGGTGTGGAGTGAGGTAGTACTGTGGGAGGATATAATAAAATTTTGTGGTGAAAAGGGTGAAAATGAGGGAACAACTAGGATAAGTGGA